AGCAGGAGGCCTGGGCCCGGCCGTGGGCCGCTTCTTTGTCTTGTTATTGCTCTTCTCGTCGTTTGTTTGGTCACAGCTCATCCTGCGAGCGCAGGTGGCCCTGAGCGAATCCAGACACAGGAGCGGAGCGTGGCTCCCCTGCATTCTCGTCTCCATCGGAAAGAAGCGGTCAACCCGAGGCCACGCAGGCGTCTCGGGGACATCACGCCCGGCTGCTGTCGGCCACAGTCCAGCCCCAGGGGCCGAGGCTCTGCTGCCGGTGCCTTCAGGGTCCGCGGGCGACACGGGAGAGGCCGTGCCTGAGGGCGGCTGTGTCCTCGTGGTGACAGTGAGCACAGGGCCCAGGGAGGTGGTGGTCCCTCACCCCCGGCCAGTGCCGGAGGAAGGAAGTACAAGCGCGTCCTCAGGCCGGCGGACAGGAGACTCGTGCTCCCGTTTCCCGGAGGCCACAGTGGGCTGGCGCTCCATCAGCCCCCGAGAAGCAAGGAGCAGCGGGGTGATGACTACAACCCAAATCAGGGTTCCCGGGAGGGCGGGAAAGCCCGTAGGGACAAACGCTCACTGAGCTCCGCCGACACCTGCACGCCCGGCTGGCGCTCCATCAGCCCCCGAGAAGCAAGGAGCAGTGGGGTGAGGACTACAACCCAAATCAGGGTTCCCTGGAGGGCGGGAAAGCCCGTCGGGACAAACGCTCACTGAGCTCCCCCGACACCTGACACTCCTGTGACCTGACACTCCTGTGACCTGACACTCCTGTGACCTGACACACCCGTGACTGACACTCCACCCGCTGGGCCGGCCCAGCCCAGTGACAGGGTGAGCCCCACGCCCGCTCCTGCCGAGGGAGGCGCTGTCCCCGGAGACTGCGGGGTGTCCAGCTCCCAAGGCCTCACCTGCAGAACTATGGGGAGCTGCTCGGGGGGGCTCCTGTTCTCCACGCCCATCGTCAGCCACACCTGGAAGGCGGTCAGCTGCTCAGCGAAGAAGGGACTGTGCTGTGGACAGGCAGAGGGACGGCGTTAGGGACCCGCCTTCCTCTGCTCCACACGCCACATGCCGCCGCCATCCCCGTGG